GGGAAGAAGAAATAAGAATGCCTGAATTTTCTCCGCATGCCCTTTGGTACTATTTTTTTTCCATGTGCATTTGTTTAAATGTTAAGGAGTCTGTTCATTCATTCCACAAATATTTGTGTGGAGTCTGCAACGAGTATCAGGCTTTGAGAGACTGAGAAAAGGGAACCCAAGCAAGAGCCCTGACTGAGTCCTGTCCTCAGGACCCATCAGCTATTTGAGATGTGGGGGGACCTTGGAACCTGTCATCCCAACCAAGACTCTTCTGAGGAAAGTGTGCTGCTGATTGAATGTCAAGATGGCAGTGTAAACCAGAACTCTCCTGCTCAAACCAGAACATTTATTTGGCCCAGATACAATGGTCCACACAAAGTCAGAACACAGGGTTGGAAAAAAGATGGACTTACATATTGTGGGAGAAAAAAAGACAACTAAATTAGTTACAGTTTCATGAAGGCATGGGTGGAACTTAGATGGTAGAGTCAGGGGAGAAGATAGAATTTATGGTCCCCAAGAGAATCCTGCCTCTCAATCCCCAGGACTATGGCTATGATGGACTATCATACTACAAATACATTAACTATCTTAGTTCAATATGCTTTAAAAAAAAACATAGACTGGGTAGCTTAAACAACAAGTCTTTCTTTCTCACAGTCCTAGAAACTGGGAAGTTTGAGATCAGGGTGCCAATATGGTCAGGTCTGGTGAGAGCCTTCTTCCCGATGTACAGACAGCCACCTCCTTGTATATCCTCACATGGCAAGAGAGGACACAAGAGAGAGCTTGGTCACTTCCTCTTCTGGGAAGAGCATTTATCTCATATGGGGGACCCACCCTCATGACCTCATCTAACTCGAATTCTTTCTAAGTCTCCACCTGCAAATACTATCCTATTGGAGGCTAGTGCTTCAACATGTGAATTTGGAGGGAAGGGAAAGAGATGAATCTTAAATCTATAGTATTACCTTAAATAGCTAAAGGGATTTTGAAAATGTAATTAAGGTTACTAATCAGATTTTTCTGGGTGGTAGGCCCAGTGAAATCACATGAGTCCTTTAAAGTAGAGGCCAAAGAATTTGGAAAGAATTGCAGAAGATTTGCTGGTCTTGCAGATGGAGGAGCCACCTGACCCTGTGGGTGGGCAGCCTCAAGGAGTTGAGAAAGCATCCTTGGTAACAGCCAACAGAGAAACAGAGATGGCAGTCCTACACCACAGAAGGCTGAATCCTGCCATAACCTGGATGATCTTGGTGCTGACTCTTCCTGGAGCCCCGAGATAAGGCCCAGCCTAGCTAACTTCCTCATGTCAGCCTTGGGAGATGAGATTCCTGCTGTGTCCCCCCCTTCCAAAGTTTCGCTCTTATGAATTGAGCTGCTGTAAACATTGATGTGGCCACATCACTGTAGTATGCAGATTATAAGTCCTTTGTGTATAAACGGAGGAGTGGGATAATTGGGTCAAATGGTGATTCCATTCCAAGTTGTCTGAGGAATCTCCATACTGCTTTCCAAAGTGGTTGTACCAATTTGCAGCCCCACCAGCAATGTACAAGTGAATCTTATCCCCACATTCTCAACAACACTTATCGTTGCTTGTATTCTTACAGAATGGGAGAAAATCTTAATCACACCCATATCAAATAGAGCACTAATCTCCCAGATACATAAAGAACTCAAAAAACTTAATAGCAAAAAATAATAATAATAATTCAATCAATAATTGGGCTAAGGAACTGAACAGTCACTTCACAAAAGAAGAAATACAAATGATGAACAAATATTTTTAAAAAAGCTCAACATCTCTTGCAATTAGAGAAATACAAATCAAAACTATTCTAAGATTTTATCTCATTATAGTCACAATGGCAATTATCAAAAATACAGAAATCTTCTTGTGCAGTAATTCAAACTTTAAAAACACTATTAAGACCAACCTTGTTCAGACTAATCAAAACACAGACATGTGTTCCGAGCCAGATGTGACCTTCTAGGGCACCAACTAAGAAGAAAAGGCAGAAAGGTCCCTGGAGCAGAGTATGAAAACCCTGAATGTGGAAGACAGTAAGAAGCCAGTGAAAGATCCCAATAATAAATACCCTGCCTCTCAATCAGAGAAGAAAGGAAACGTGTTTATGGAAACCTACTTCAGCCAGCGACCACGAGGGGCATGTCCCAGCTGGAGATCCCTGGAAAACTGATGTTCCAAGGGCTACTGGCTGTTTCCAGATGGGAAAGCTGAAGCAAGGAGCCATTCGATTATTGTCTGTGATGATGCAGATGTGAAATGGTGATCCCGGACTCAAAACTGTTCTCTCTCTTTTTTAAAATTGATTCTTTTTACTTATACATGACAATAGAATTCACTTTGATATAATTATACAAGCTTGGAATCTATCTTTTTCTAAATAGGACCCCATTCTTACAGATGAACACAGTTCTCAGTCCAACATCTGAGTGCTATCAGCTGCCCCAATGGGACATCCCAGGATTGAGTATTTCGCTTCTTTTAATTGAAAAGGGGAGAAAAATAAAGGAAAAATCAAGGAGAGGGAATTTCATCAAAATAAGGAAAGATCAGTAAACAAAGAGGACTGAGAAGGAAAAGGGGATGAGAAAAGGGAAGAACAGCAGAATGAATCTGACCAAACTATCAAATGTGCATGCATAATGTGGCACAGTGGGTCTGACATCAGGGGATGCTAATTTTTTTTAAAAAAAGTAAATAAACTGTAAATGGAGAGATTGGTGGATTGGAAAGGAGGAGGGGAACAGCAGGCAGGGTGAAGTGCTGAGGATTGAATTGGAGTGGGTTGAGTTCTCTGCCTTTGTGATAATGTCAGGGCATATCCTGGTGTTAAAGAACTATAAAGAAAAGGGGTGTTCTGGGGTGTCTCTCAAGGCCTGGGCCTTATTGGTTAACAAATTTTTTTCTGCTCCCTCAAGGAGTCTGCCTGTCCATTCTCCCACTCCGCCATAGCGGCCACCCCATCCTGTATAGCTCTCCCTCTCCCCTCTGACATCCCAATCTCTCAGAGTCTATTCTCCCTGCTTGCTTATAGCTCAGTCTCTCATTTACCCAATTCCAAATTCCTACAAAGGAATCTAGTTGGTTCAGGATACTTTTTCTTTTAGTTGTTCCAAGTCAGAATGGGTCATAGAGTCCAGATGACAGCCCAGGCATGACCTAAGGTAACCTCTCCCTCAGACCCCTCCTCCACCCTGTCTCTAAGCAACCCTTGTCTCAGGCCCAATCAACAGAGGCCATAATTATCTCATGTTATGAGCAAGACCCTTGGGTTGTGGGGGCTTGGGTGAGCCATTTCCCCTAAAGAGGGATATAGGCACAACAGCATTCCAAACACCTGCATTACCCCATGTTGGATTTTGGGAAATAGAAGTTGCCTAAGCTAAGTGCTCACAATAGTTCACACTGTCAGCTGGAGGCCGCTGAGACACCCACAACTGCCCTATGTACCCCTGGGTCATCAAGTTCATGAGCCAGGCGAAAGAAGAAGACGGGGACCATCTCAAGACTCCACCAAGAAACCTTCACAATTTCTTCTGACCATGGAGTAGTCACCAACTGGATCAATGTCTCTTTCTTTCCCACAAAAAAGACTGGATGGATTTGGTTAGCAACTCTCTCTCTCTCTCTCTCCTCTCTCTCTCTCATAGGGATTGAACCGAGGACTACTTATGCTAGGCAAGTGCTCTGCCTCCAAGCTACATCCCCATTGCCTGTTTGTGATGTGGAGAATCTAGAAAAGCCTCTGCAGAGCCCTCCAACTCAGTAAGGAATAGAAACATTACCTAATATGATGTTAGACGACTCATTCTACTGAGAGAAGGGCAGAAGTGTCAGTTCCCTTCAGGAATGCAACCACACAAAGCTCTCACTTTGAGTGGAAGCTGGCATTTTTTAAAAGAGAGCTTCACCCAGGTTACATTGACACATAAAAAACTTGCATATATATATGTGTGTGTGTGTGTGTGTGTGTGTGTGTGTGTGTGTGTGTGTGTAAAATGTGAAGTTTGGTGTTCTGACCTATATAAACACCTGTAGACCATCACTACTATGAACATGTTCACCGCCCTAAGTTTTCTCATGACCATTTATAATACCCCCCTTACATCCTACCCCACTCCCAATGCCCATATCTCTTGGCAGCTACTTATCTTTTTTCTGTCACCCCAGGTTGCATTTTCTAGTATTTTATAAATAACATCCACTCAGCTTTCTCTTTTTTCACACAGCATAATTATTTTGACAATCATCCATTTTATTGTGATTTATCAATTATTCACTGCTTTTTATGGCTAAGTAATATTCCACAGTATACATACCATATTTTGTTTATCCATTCACCTCTGAACATTTTTGGTCTATTTCCAGTTTGAGGTTACCACAAACAGGCAACATGAATATTCATGTATGATTGTACATGTGTTTTCTTTTGCCTTGGAAAAACACCAAAGAATGTAATGGCTAGATCATTTGGTTGGCATTGTGGTTTGAATGTGACCCACAAAAGTTCCTGTGTTGGAAACTCCCATTTGTCAATGGTATTTGGAATTGGGGCCTTTGAGAAAGAGTTAGATGAGGTCACAAGGATGGAGCTATCATGAGGGTATTTGTGGCTTTATAAGAAGAGGAAGAGAGAGACCCCAAGATAGCACACTTGTATTGTCTTTCCATGTGATACCTTCTGCTATGTTATGATGTGGCAAGAAAGCCACCACCAATGCAAACAAGACACCAGCACCATGCTTTTGGACTTCCCAGCCTCTCAAACCATGAGTTAAATAAACTATTATTCTTATAAATTACTCAATCTCAGGTATTTTGTTCTAGTAACAGATATTGGACTAAGACATTAGGCACATATTTGTGCCGTTTTGGTGCAACTTTCCTCTGGTTTTGGAGTGTCCTCAATGTGTATATTTAACTTACTAGATATTAAGGTACACACAGACCACATATGAACAAATAACACAGTCGCTCATTAGGAGGTCACAATCAGTTGCAGCTGGCTTTATTCCAGTCCTCCCACATGTGTGAAGAGAGCTCCCGGTAGGGAAAACCTCCCTGGATGAACTTTGATTTGAAATGATGAACTTTGATGTAAGACACTCAGTGCACAAGCTCCCAACCGCATCAACACTTTAGTAATAACTCACAGAGGATTATGTGATCTGTCTCCAAGAGATCCTTTAAATAATGGCCGCATCTCATAGGTCTATAATAGAACAGTCAAGGTCAATAGAGAAAACTTTGCACGCAATAAGGCAGGGGGTAGTCACATCAACACCTTCTCAGAACTTGTTGGGACTGTGCATTCTCCCCAGCCCAGTCCTACCAAGTGGAAACCATGAAGTGGGGCCCCCCATCAATCTGGACTTGAACCAACCTTGCTGGTGATTCGGATGCATGCTTCAGTTTAAGAACCACCGGCCTAGAACATTTTTCAAGCCTTTCAACTTTACTAGAATTGAATCCAGCAGAAATTATAACACAGAGAAAGTCTCATCCCTCTATTGCCTGGGTTCCACCCACAGACCTGTGGAACCTGCCCTCTCAGAGTCTAACAGCAGAATGCAGAAGTGCACAACGATGTTATCACTTACTTTCCCAAAGCACCAAACTTAGAAAAAAGAAAAAAAAATCTTAGGAAACACAATCATTGGAGCATTTAAATCCAACTATCAAAATCACCTACATATGGCTTTCACCCTGGCATATGATGACATAAATGGAACTAAGAAAAAAAAAGACAAAAATTTTATGTGATGCACTCCAACTCTCTTTACTGCTCCAGACCCCACTGCAAATATACACATCAGCAGGAAAATTAATCAAACTTGAATAGGAAGAATTTGAGTAAAAATATTGGATACTTTTTACTTTAATCTTCAGTTTAAGCATGATTTCCACTTGACATTATAACCAGAGAGAATTTTTGATCTTTTCCTTGGTATTTTTCCATGCTTAAATTTTAGCCCAGTCCTTGAAAACTCTCTCCAGCTTCTGGCCAAGCAGAACTTTGCCACTCACTTTGAACTTGCCAGCCAGGAAAGCCTTCTGCGGATTCATTTTGCCCAAAACTAACTCCATAAAGACATTTTCTGGAATAGTGAAGACAGTGTCTGCTGGGAGCCTAGAAGATCCTGGATACATGTCCCCAGAGCCACTCTTCAGGTCAATGGTCCACTGCAGAATGATCTTACCATCTTTGGTGATGTCCAGCTGAAAGATGGCATTGACTTTCTTTACTAGCTGGCCTCCCACTTCTTTGATGTGATGGCTAATGTCCTCAAACACTGGGAAGCTCTGGAATGCTGACAGCTCTAGAGGGTTTGGCATGGCAAGTTCCCGAGCTGAACCCAAAGCTTTGAGCTGGCTCGCCTGAGGTCCATTCCCTGCTTTGATCTTGGGTTGATGGTCGATTCTCCTCCACATCTTTACTGTACTGGTCCTCTTGACCCTGCCGTCTGGTCTGTGGACAGCTGTGGCCAGATTAATACCCACAGGTCAGATTGTGACATCAAAGTTAAGGCCCAAGCAGGGACTGAGGCTGGTGTGTGTGTGCTGCAGTCTTATTGGCCAAACAAATTTTAAAATATGACATGGAGTGGGGGATCAGACAAGTAAGTGTGAAGTAGGTACACCCACGCACACACACACACATTCCCAAACAGCTAGGGCCGTTGGTGCCATAGGTCCTTGAAAACTCTCTCCAGCTTCTGGCCAAGCAGAACTTTGGCACTCATCTGGAACTTTCAATGATGGTAAGGGAAACTGTCCCCAGAAGGCTTTGTCTTTAAAATTCAGGCACTTCCCTGATTGCAACCCTGAGAGAGCAGTTATTTTGATTCCTTTAAAGGTGGATAATCCTTAAGGTACAAATCATGATGCTGAATTTGGCTTTATCAAGATACTGGCCTTAGGGTAAGATGCTTTTAGGACAAAACAGTTTAAAATAGCTGATTGGAGAAGAAATCAGCACCAGGGCCAACATCAGAAACCTCCCGTCTTCCAGAAAAAGAGAAAGATAGAGAGATTATAAGATCAACTGAAGATGCTGCTGATGTTGTTTGATAATTACATAAAATAATATAGCTCTTTCTCTGAGCCAATATGCTGAGTTCTAAGCACATTACATATATTGACACATTTAATTTTCATTGCAACCCCCTGAGATAGGTATTAAATTTATCCCCATTATACAGATGAGGAAATGAGGGAAGGAGAAATGAGGGGACTTGCCCAGAATCACATGGTTAGTAAGTAGTATAGCCAGATTTGAAGGAGTCTAGAACCCACTCTTATTTTTTACTTTTTATTTTGAAATAACTTCAGCCTTACAAAAGGTTTACACAGTAGTACCTGTGTAACTGACCTCACCCAGATTCCCCAAATGTTAGCATCAGTACAATAATCTAATCCAAGAAATTAACATTGATATAATACTCTTAAGTGATCTACACTGTATATTCAAATTCTGCAAATTATAGCACTACTACCCATTTTCTGGTCCACAATGCAGATTCTGGGCTTGGATTCTAGGTTGTTTTTAATTGTGTGTCTTTCTTACAACCTCCTGTCCAGGGAAACTCATCCATCTTTGTCTATCATGACCTTGACACTAAGGAAGAATATCTGCCATCCCCAAGAAAGGATGACAGATTGAGTTGGTGTAGTGTATTCTTGGTTATCAAAAAATACTCATGTAGCTTTGGGATTTTGAATTGGTGAATATTCATGATGTGTGGAAAAACATGATACACACCACAATCTCAATCACACAAAATGGGATATTGTGTATATATGCAATATATACACAATATACACACCTAGAGGGACACATCCAACTAAGCTTCTTGTGACTGGATGACTTTGTTCTTTGCTTGTGTTTTTTTCCCCCTGTAATGTACAATTTACTTTAAAAAATAAAAATTATTTTAAAAACAAAAAAAAAAAGAATATCTGCCAGTCATTCCATAAAATGTTCCTTGTTTGGGGTTTGTCTAATGTTTCTCATGGTTGTTTGAGGTTGTACATTTCTGGCAGGAATATCCTATAAGTGATCTTGTCCTCTCCCTGGTGAATCATATTAGAGATACGTGACGTGAAAATGTTATTTTTGTCTCTTATCTGCTGATGTTGACCTTGATCACTTGGTTGAAGTTGTATCTACCAGAATTCTCCACTGCAGAGTTACTGTCTATTCTTCAGTGTCTTGTAGGGAAGTACTTTGAGAATGTAAATATCTGTTTTACATAATGCTTTGGTCCACTCCTTTTTGTATCCATCCTTGGCCCATATCTGCAGCCATCAGTGTGATGTGTAACAAATCATTTTACATAGGTTATATTCTCATTACTCCCTTGACATTTAGTAATTGAAATTGTGCTATAAGGAGGTGCTGCATGCCCCCCTCTCTCTCTCTCTCTCTCTCTCTCTCTCTCTCTCTCTCTCTCTCTCTCTCTCTCTCATTTTATTTGTTCTGTTACTTATCTGAGTATGGACTTGTGAATATCTATTTTACTTTGTGTATTTATTGCCATTATTTATTTTCTTGTTCAAATTGTCACAGATTTGGCTATTAGGAGTGCCATTGAGTTGGTATCTGTGTCCTTTCCTACATAAAACTGCTCTTGTAAGTGAAGCTACAATAAATGGAGTTGTAGCTGGCTTTTTTTCTCTAGGAAGAGTGCAGAAGAATGAAAAAAGGCTTCAGTACATTTGCAATGATGGATGAGCTACATTATCAGCATTGAACAGTTATACAAAACCCAATGGTGTCCAAGTTTTTACCATAAAGCCACCAAGGGTGAACAACATCTGCCCAGAGAATTTTAAAGGAAGAAGGAAGGCAATTCTCCAACAACTTCTCTACGAGCAACCAACAGAGAGGACTGAGCCCATATCTGCTTTTCCTTAAGGATAGGGGTTGTCCCATTTGAATTATTCAGACAGGTCCCCAACTGGACAGGTCTCCTTCCTCAGTATAACAGAAGGGGACATGGCCCTTACGGAAGAAATTCAAAGCAATCCAGGATTCAAGAGACTTTTTCACCAACAACATAGATTGAAACTGCCATTACATAGTGACACCAACTTTTGGTTCATTTTATTATTTAAATTCTCACCAGATAATGCTCCTCTTATTTCCTTCTCTTTGACAGGGGGCTTCTCATACCATGACTGACAACCACTGGCCTCTAGAAAGCATACCCCCTTCAACTAGGCATGATCTTCGATTTTCCATATCCCCTTGAAATTATTTCTTCTTCAGTTGCTATTCAACCGAAGAACCTAGTGATAGCAAATTTATCATTTTGGGATTCTGCAATCTTTTTATTTTTTAAGAGAGAGTGAGAGAGAGGGGTGGACAGAGAGAGAGAGAGAGAGAGAGAGAGAGAGAATTTTAATATTTATTTATTTTTTCTTAGTTCTCGGCGGACACAACATCTTCGTTTGTAACATCTTCGTTTGTATGTGGTGCTGAGGATCGAACCCGGGCTGCACGCATGCTAGGCGAGCGCGCTACTGCTTGAGCCACATCCCCAGCCCAAGGATTCTGCAATCTTTAAATGCTTTAGAATAATGTGAAACTTGTTCTCTTTTTTAAAAAAGTTACAAAAGTCGTTTTATTAAATAAGATGATTTTAGTCTCAAAGAACAACCACCATCATAAAAATTTTTTAAAAAAGAAAAAAATGAAAAAAGAAAAGAAAACTTTATCCAGTGGTGATTCTGACATGTGGCTCCAGAGCTGCAGCAGCTGCATCACCAGGGAACTGGTGAGAGAAATGCATGTACCCAGGCCTCACCCCAGATCTGCCTAATCAGAAAACTCTGGGTGTCGGTTAGTCAGGGTTCCCCACAGAAAGAGAATCCATAAGATATTTTAAAATTGAAAGATTTATTTGTCAGTGAATTCCTACATGCCCACCAATATCCTGTCATTAACATTTTATTTCAGGTGTTTGAATCCTTTCGTCTTATTTTTTTATTCATTTCAAAGTAAATTATAAGCATCAGTAACCCCAAAACACTTAAACATGCAGAACATTTATGAGAGTTCAATATATGTTTACATTTGTTAAATGTAAAATTTATATACAAAGAAATGCACAACTCCTAAGTGTGCATTTGCTGAAAGTTTAGCTATGCATATATTTGAATATAACAAATTTGAATGCCAGGTCACCCTACCTCTCCCACAGAGTCTTAAGAATGGATCCCCATGCAGTGGTGCAGAAGCCTAAATAATCAGGACCCTAGATCCCTTCTTCATTCCTCAAATAGAAGGCTGCTTCCCTGGAAATGTGAAGCTGTCACCATGAGACCCAAGAGGAAGATCTCAAAGTTCCTCTACCATAGATCCAAAGACCAGAGTTTATAATTCAGGATTTCCACCTTGAGAAGATGCCATAGTTTCTGAGCCTGCACACAAATGGAAACCAAGTGTTATGGTTTGGATATGAAACAAAAGCTCCTGGGATAATGCAGAGGTGAAATGATTAGATTAACTCATTTAAGGTATTAATAATTTGAGTGAATTATTCAGTGGTAACTGTAGGCAGGTGGTGTGTGTGGTTTGGAATAAGTGAGTCACAGGTAGCCTGCCTTGGGGATTATATATCTTGTCTGTGGCTCCTCCCACCTGCTCTCTGCTTCCTAGCCACCATGAACTGACCGGATTTCTTCTGCCTCACCCTTCCACCCTGATGTTCTGCCTCACCTCAGGCAGGGAACAAGGGAATCAGCCAATTTTTGGACTGAGACCTCTGAAACCATGAGCCCAAATTACACTTTTCTTCCTCTAAATTGTTCTTGTCAGATATTTTGGTAACAGCAATAAAAACCTAACTAATATTCCAAGTTTCCTTTTTCTAACTTGTTAAATTTTTGATCAATCCCTAATAATCATATTTGTTTATGGGATACAATGTAATGTTTTGATTCATGTATATATCGTACAATGATCAAATCAAGGTCATCAGCATATCCATCACTTGAATAATTTCTTAACACTTCTGAAAGCTAATGCTGTTCTTTGGCTCATTTGGTTTCCAATAGGATCATCACCCACTTTCTTGGCTCTGCTGATTCCAGCAATATTTTTAACAAAGTTGAGCACACAGCTGGGGACCAACAAACACTTTCAGGGTTAGTTGTTCAGTTGTAGGTTGGTGAATATCACTTCTTCCAGAGATAATGTGCCGGGGCCTGCAGGGTGCACATGGAAGGGCAGAAGCAGAAACTTAGCTCTCAGGGACCTTACAATGTAGGAAGGAGATATGTCAGAATTCTAGCTACCTCTGTGTTATGAACTGAATATTTGTTTCCTCCAAAATACATATATTGAAGTTTTAATCCATATCATGATAGTATTAGGAAGTTTGGCCTTTGGCAGGTAATTAGGGTTGGATTAGAACATGAGGGTGGAGCCCCATAATGGGATTAGTGCCCTTATAATAAAGAAAAGACATGAGAATGTTCTTCCCTCCTTCTCCCCTTTCTCTCTGTCTCTCATCATGTAGCAAGAAAAAAGACCACATGAGCTCACAGCAAAAAGATGACCATCTGCGAGTGGCCCCCCGCCAGAGCTGAATCTGTAGGCATTTTGATGTTGGACTTCTCAACTTGTAGGATTATAAGAATTAAATGTCTTTTGTTTTAAGGCATCCATTCTATGGAATTTCATTATAGCAATTCAAGCAGACTAAGACCCTTGCCAGAACTTGGCATTGCCAGGTGCTTTGTTTTGTTTTTTAAT